GACAGCTTTCAAAACACTACTGTCTATATCATACCATCAAGGATTCCAGTGTAATTGAGCTGGTTTTACTTGGTAACAGAATTTTTCAATCGATTCCTGGGTGACTCTAATCTGCTACCAAACTTGAGAACTAATGGCATCGATGGAGGCATTTTACTTATTACAAAGGGAGGAGATTTCTTTCCCAAGAATGACAGTGGACATAAGCACCGGTAACACTGAACATTAGGAATGCTGACTCCTAAGTAATAACATGTTAGGTTTTACAGACTCCAACACTGTGGTTACCACAAGAGCATATAATGCATGTAGCATTACCTTGCAGCAGCCTCAAAATCATCCTTTAATGGCAGATTTGTTAATTTTCCCTCATAGTTATGTTAAATGCTGAAATTTATTTGTGTTATCTTTTCTTGGTGCTTGTAAAATGGGAGCTTTATTCTCCTCTATAAACAAATGCTTCATGGTAACATGTTAATTGCCTTTTCTTTGGTAGCATACTTCACCTGAAAGTCCATTTCCCAGACTCCTGTGATACTAGCGTAGCTGTACTAGCTAGCTTTGTTTGTTTTTAGAGACATGGTCTCATTATATGTACAACTCAGGGTGGCTTGGCATTCTTTAAAATTTTGGTGGTGGTGGTGGGGTTCGAACCCAGGGCCTCTAGAAGGTGCTGAGAAAGCACACATCCATTGTACTATCCCCCAGCCCCCCAGGATGGCTTGGAAATCACTCTGTAGGCTAAGAGGAACCGAAAGTCTTGGTCTTTTTGCCTCATCCTCTCACATCCTGGGATTACATGCCCATTACCACACCTTGCCCTCAGCTAGCTTTTTATCAATCTGTTAGTTTTGGTTACCTCCCAATTTTCAAATATATTATATTTTGATTAATGTTTTGAGTAGAATGTAGCTGAAATTTTAAAGGTTGCCCTGAAAAACTTGTTTTGTTTAATTAGAACATTTATTTAGCCATTCATTTTTAATGAAATTATCATTATTTATTGGTGACACAAATATCTAACAAATACTAGGGTCCTTTGTAGGGAGAGATCTACATACCTGTAGCGCTGACCATGCCTGTTTGGGTGTGGTCACAGGCACGTAGAATGTGTGGGGGACAAAAGAGCTAGAGGGAGGAGATGCTTTCTCTTTGGGTTTGGTTGCTGCCTGGAGAGCAGTGTGCGGACCTTTGGTTCTTGACTTTCTTGGCTTCTCACATAAGTAATTTCTCCCTCAATAAAATACCATCACAAGACATCCCTATTTTGTGTAGGTTAATATTTCTGCATTAGTTTTTGTAGAGGTTCTAGGTTTTACAAGTAACCATGAGAGGGCAATGCCTAAGAATTCACATCTTCCGAAAGATGGTAAGGGATCAGGTATCTGCTTTGGTGCTCCACCATTGTCTCTAACAGTGTGTCTCCACTACAAGATTCAGGGAACCTCTGGGCAAAAAAGAAACAAGGACATGACTTCTGGTGCATGGCAAACTGGGAGATAGGACAGCAGTTCTATGGTCATGCCCACTGACAGAGCAAATGCAATGGGACAGTCATAAACTAGGAGTGTGGCTCTTCATCTGGTTACATGGAGACCAGAGACACTTTATAATAACGTTGCTACCCTACAAGTAGTTTATTACGGTCACCACTTGAAAACAACAGCTGCCCCCCCACCCCCTTCTTTCCTTTTCACTTCTTACAGCCTACCTTACTCTGGGATCATTTTTCTTTGACGAGGATCTGCTCTTTGTGTTTTTATTTGTTCATTGTTCATGTAAGCTGTTTCCCTAGGGGTGGAATGAAAGGTCAGCACCTACTTCTTAACTCTTCTGAAGGCACTGAAGGCATCTGCACCATGGCTGTTTGAAACCTGTCACTTTGTTATTACAATAAAAGAAATTTACTCTCCTAATTCTGCCTCCTCTCAGGTTGTTTTTCTGCCTCTTTTTAAAGTTTCATGGACATGTCTAGGGGTAGGATTCTTTTTCCTAACCCTGCTTAAACTGTGTCGCGCATCTGGCTTGGCATATTGTGTTGCAGGACTCACGCCTCATACTCCTGCCTCTGCTCCATGCTCTATTCTTTCACTTCTCTCCAGACCCTATGAGTAAAAGAGCATTCTAGCACTGCTGAAATCTATCCTATTCTCATGCATTTCTAACGTCCCTCACTCCCTCTGCCTCCTTCAGGACAATTTGTTCATGAATGCTCTTCCAACTGTGTCTAATGTGCTGCTAAACACAACATATCCAACCATTTTGGCTATTACAACTTTCCATTTCTAGAAGTTCTATTTTTTAACACTGTTTACTTAAATTTTTTTAATATAATATGTTTTGGTCATATTCTTTGCCCTCCTCCAAACTCCTGCTAGATTCTCCCTCCCTAACCATCTAACTTTGTATTCTTTTTTTCTCTTAAAAGATAAAACCAAACCAAACAAAAAAAGCACGCATAAAAAGGACACACAACAACAATAATAACAATTAAAACCAAGCCAATCAAACAGACAAAAACATGGAATCCATTTTGTGTTGGCCAATTATTTCTTGGCATGCAGCCTGACCTGTGGTGTGGTTGCTATTACCCAGTGTCACTTCATTGAAGAAAACAGACTTTTCCTTTCCCAGCAACTATCAATGGCAACTATTTTTTTAATTAGGGGTAGGACTTTGTGCCCACTTTGTTTAAAAGGCTGCTGGCTACTTGGGATGGAATCCATACCCTGACTTTTAATGAGGCCAGAAGCCTGACGTTAGAAATGTCATGGATCCTAGGGGAAAATCGACTACAATGATTCTGCTAAATATACAGCAACAAAATGATTTCTAATGACATATTGCTATACCCATGGATCGGTACATTACTGTACCCTCATCAGAGAGGCTTCCTCTTGAAGTAGATGGCAGATAACCCTGAACCTCACATGTGGACAACATGCAGAGAACAAGGGGCTTTGGCACAGTGAGCCCTAAGTTGGGTGCAGGGCATCCCTTCCCTCAAGGAGTGGAGCTCTAAGTGGAAGAGGAGGCTGAGTGACTGTAAGAGCCAGAGGTGGTGGACAACTCCAAGGAAACAGCATTTCCATATACAACGGGGCTGAAGCAGACACAGAACCAACTCATGGTCACTCTGACAGCATGCACAAGTTCAAACTACAATGCTTACTTTTATAGTTCTCTGCAAGTATTTTCCAACTCAATTTTCTTTTCCTCTTGAAATGTACACCATTTTCTCTTCTATTATTCTGTGTCTGGCGACTGCAATGTCTAGTCTCTCTGAAGTTCAGCTCCTGTGGTCCACTATGCCTGTTTCTGCTACTTCCCAACACCATAGCCAGTTAACGTTGACCATGTGCTAGCCACTGTACAAAGAAGTTTCCAAAGCACAGAATGAAAATATGTTCGTTTCTAAAGTGTTTGCTTATGCTTCCGACCTGCTTGCAATGAGCAGGCATCAAGTTTAATGCCCAAGGCTTCCTAGGTCTCTCTTTAATCTGTGAGTGCTGTTACTCTGGTTTCCTGTTCATCTTGAGGAGGAGTCCATTGGGGCTAAGGGTTGACTTCTTTTGCCCTCCTCCTCCCTAGCCTATCAAAGCCAATTTCTAATCTGGCGCACCTAACATACTGTCAGTCTAAAGACATGGTGACTTTTGTCCTTGGGTTAGTTGCATTTCCCATTACTGTGACAAAGTACCAGACAGAAGCCATTTAAGAGAGGAAAGCAGGTTTTGGAGGGATTTCAGCCTGTCAGTGTGGGGAAGGTATGGCCTGGTGGCTTGTGGGAGCTCACGGAATTGAATTTCACACTGTGGCTGGCCAGGAAATGGAGAGAGCTGGATAGAGCTGGGTACAACTTAAGGCCTACCTCAGTGACCTATTTCCTCCAGCTTAGCCTCACATCCCAAAGATTCCGCTAACTCCTAAAAAAGCATTCAACCAAATGAACCTGGGGGTGCATTTCACATTCAAATGTACAAACTTTTATTTATCTTTCTGGGCTTCCATTGCCCAATTATTCTCCCTGGTAATCCCCACTGTCATGTCAACTCTTTGAAGGTTTCTAAGCATTACAATTATTGGAAACTGGTTTGTAGTGGTGGCTCAGAGGTGGCCTACTGGGAACAGGAAGCCAACCACTGTCTTCCCTGCACTAAGGAAACACGCAGTAAGTGAAGATTATATTAGCTAATCATTCCATTTCCCCCAGCCACGCTCCATTGCTTGCCTGCATTTACCTGCAATGCTGTTTTTAACTTGCAGAATTCTCATACCCTCTCCCCACCCCAAGAATACCCGTCCTATTGTTTGACAAGATGTTAAACATATGCTACCTTTCTCTCAAATCTTTGCTTCTCCTTCTTGTCCAGATATGAGCATCATCCCTTACTAATTCAGACCCTCACACATTGACCTGTGCATCTCTTTCCCAGAGCCTAGCCACACAGGGTTGACCTCATGTGATTTTTATCTCTCCTGTGAACACGTATCTGTCATTTCTGCCTTCCAAAGAATCCCCTCACTTCCTCTCCAGCTCTGTGCACATCCTACACAGCTTTCTGGAAAATCTGATAACCAGGGCTTCATTCTGAATGCTTAATCTGCTGTGTTACTGGGGTGGATTTTGTTCTTTCTGCTAAACCTTTATACTGGATAGGCTGCTCTCAAATGTACCAGTTTGTGGAGACTGTCAGACTCTGACTGCAGGACTGCTCTCTCACAAGCATTTAAGAAACAGAAAGCATCAGAAACTCCACAACCAGACCCACACCTTTCCCCACAAGCCTTCCTCATGGACATCACAGTTGCTCTCCATGTGTTTGTGTCATTAATCATTTCTGTTACCACCTGGGACTCTGTGGGAGGCATCTGGCACTGGGAAGCGCACTAGGCACCTGAAAGTGGCCACATGCAGCAGGCAGGCAGGGGTGGAGGCGTCTCTGTGAAATCCCTTATGTACACATCTCAGATGGCTTCTGCATCTCAGGTCTGCTTACCTCACAATTTTGGTGCCATTTCTCACAACTTGCATGTCTACCATGCAGCCTCCGGTAACATAAGCAGCCAGGTTCAGCTCAGAGAACTCAGCCTGGAAGAGAAACGAAAACAAGCAAAGGAGACATCAAACACTACCAGGTAGGATGTTTGTGTTTACTGTACACTTCTACTATTATGCAGTGCCCATTTAGCCTAGTCTCAAACTTGGCAATCGAAGCTGAGAGACAGGTGACATACCCAAGGTCACACGATGGACACGTCAGATTAGAACCCATGAGTCTTGGATTCAAGGTCCCACTGCCATAACCACAACTCTTTGCTGCCTCCTCGGAATCAGAACAGGCCACTCTGGCTCTGACTAGAAGACACCATTGTTAACCGGATGGTTTCCCGAGAGAGAGTTGGAGGCCTTGTGCTATGCTGGTGATCAGCCCCATGGCTCAGGTTACGTGGCTCTGGTAACAATTGTTGTTAACAATAACAATTGGCTCAAATTATGTGCCTGACATCCCTTTCTTAGGAATGGCCTCTTCCCTCATTCTATACATGTAGCTACAGTGGAATCACTATGTCTGTGCCATTTTGGTCACAGTTGATGGGCAGGTATCTGATACAAGGTGAGGGAATGATGGGCTCCTAGCTGAGAAGTTAAGATGTGGTGGTTTGAAAGCAAACAGCCCCTAAAGGGAGTGGCACTTTTTAGGAGTGGCTTTGTTGGAGGAAGTGTGTCACTGTGGAGGTAGGTTTTGAAGTCAGTTCTCAGACATGCTTAAGCCATGCCCCGTGAGACAGACCACTTCCTGTTGCCTTCATATCAAGATGTAGGAATCTCGGCTCAGTCTCCAGCACCGTGTCTGCCTTCATGTCACCATGGTGCGCCGTTATGATAATGGAGTGACCCTCTGGAAATGTAAGCCACCCCAGATGAAATGTTTTTCCTTTGTAAGAATTGCCATGGTCATGGTGTTGTAATTTTTAAGAAGTGGCACATGAAAGACACCATGTGACAGAGTTCAAGCAGAGGTTTTTTTTTTTAATTTTTTAATTAGGGAAGGGGATCATAAAAAGGGTAAAGGGGAGGAGGGAGATTGGCCTCTGGGGACAGAAGCAGTGAGAGATAGGAAAGAAAGAGAGGGAGAGAGAGAGACAGAGACAGAGACAGAGAGACAGAGACAGAGACAGAGGGAGAGACAGAGACAGAGACAGAGGGAGAGACAGAGAGAGAGAGACAGAGGGAGAGACAGAGAGAGAGACAGAGGGGGGGAGGGAGAGAGGAGAGAGAAAGACAGAGAGAGAGAGAGAGAGGAAGAGAGGGAGGGAGGGAAGGAGGGAGGGAGAGAGAGAGAGGAGCAGACAGAGAGAGAGAGAGGAGGAGGAGGAGGGCAGGGCCCTTTTAAAGGGGAACACAGTGATAGGCACAGGTGGTGCTGTTAGTGGCAGCAGCTGAGGGTGTATCCTGATAGAACCCCAAGGACAGAACAGTACAGAAGCCTAAATACTAATACATGGTGCATCTTCACAGCAATAGACAACCCCAACTAAGACACAAGACTGTTTCTAGGGGTTTGTATCTCTTTGTTCTTTGTTCTGTTTCTTGACATAGGGTTGTATATAGTGAATCAGGCTGGCCTCAAACTCCCTACACAACAGAGAATGACACTGTCTCCTGTCCAGTCTCCACCTCCTAAGTGCTGAGATTACCGCTATGCCCCACAATGCAGCAGATGGAACTGAGCGCTTTGTGCCAGCACTCTGCCAACTGAGCTACATCGCAGCCCACAGGTGGCTTTTGTCTTTCAAGCCTGGTGCTACTTGGGATCACATTTACTGCTAGCTGCATTAGAAAGCATGGAAACCCAGAATGTAGGACACTGAAGGACAGGAGGAAGGGTGTGGGGAGAATGAGAGGAAGAGGAAGGAAATACCCCAGTCACCAAGAAAAGGAGAGAGGGACAGAGGCAGGAGACAGAGAAGCCTCCTGACGCTCCTGTCTGAATTTCGAGGTGCACTTTGGTGCATGCTTGTCTGTTTAAGGAATTAGTGAAATTCTATTGCTTTCAATCAGAGTTCTGGGGAATAACACACGTTTCTGGTCACACCCTATGTTCCCTGGAGATAGAGATGTGTTGCTTTAACTACCTCTATCAGATCCCTAGAATGTTTTAATGAAGACCCACAACTGGGGGCCTTAAATGACAGGAACTTACTCTACAGTTCTGGGCTAGAAGTTCAAAGTCAAGGTGCCCGTATGGCTGGTTTCTTTTGAAGGCTTGTAAGGGGGACGTCTACTCTAGACCCCTTCTGTTGGCTTGAAGTCCACCACTTTCTCCCTGATCTTCTCCTCCTCATCATCTTCTCAATGTTCATCCCTTTTTCTAAAGTCCCCCCCTTTTGTAAGAACATTAATCATGTAGGTTCTCACTCTGATGGCCTTGTTTTTGATTGGGGACCTCTTTAGAGGTTCTCTCTCCAAGTAAGATCACATTCTGAGGTACTGTATATTGGATTTCAGACTACGATATTCTTAAAATTTAACTTTATCCATTCTTTAAGAATGTCATATATGGGGCTGAATAGATGGTTTAGTGGTTACAGTGTTATTGCTTTAGCAGAGGACCCAAGTTTGATTACTAGAGTCTACATCAGGTGACCTAACAACTACCTGCAACTCCAGCTCCAGGGATCCAATGCCACAGAGTCATATACATACTCATAATTTAAAATAATAAAATAAAATTTAAAAAAGAATGCTATACATGCACACAGAGTATTTTGGTCATATTCACTCCCTCTAAATTCTCCCAGAACCCTAACACAATTCCCCTTTCAATTAAAAAACAATTGTAACCCACTGCATCTAATTAGAGCTGCCCAGACACATGTGGAAATAGGGGCAGTAACTGGAGCATGGACAATCAACCGGGGACCACATTCCTGAGCACCCCACCTTCTGTTTTTCCCTTAGCAGCCATCAACTGCCAATAGCTCTTATCTGGGTGTGGTCCTCATGAATCTCTCCCCCATTGTGATTGGCTCGATTTTGTGTAAGTCTTGTGCAGGCAGTCACAGCTGCTCAGAGTTCATGAGTTCAATGGCTCTGTTGTGTCCAGACACATTTTTACAGCAGTGTCACTCTAAATCTTTCTACCCTCTTCTATGATGTTCACCTTGGGGAAGCATGATATAAAGATATACCATTTGAACCTGGGCACTCAACAGTCACATACTCTGGAATCTGACTAACTGTGAGTCTCTGGATATCCACTATAATAAGTATCATATATAATAAGAGGTGAGACCTGTACTAATCTGTGAATATAAGGTTAAGACTTTAGAAGGCAGATTGATGCTATTTCTATTGAGAAGAATAAAGAAGTAAGGTTTTCCCTAGGGTATATGATCTTCCCAGCCATTTGGTTCTTGGCTAGATTTATAATACCATAAATCCAAACAGAAAGCAGTTGGTTGCCAACATAGCATTCATGCCACTATTGCATCAATGGGCACATCTTACCAGCAGTTGTTATCGAAGCTTACAGAGTTTACAGCTAGGTAAGATTTTTCATGATTTTTCTCTCTGCCTCAATAGCCTGTATAGCACCTCTAGCATGATGAAAGATATTTAGCAAGGAGGAAGGTATTAGGTTGGTATCAGTTTGATTTCTCTTGTTCTGTGACCAAACTGTGTAGTGTCTTTCAGCAGTGGGTTCTTGAACCAAGCCCAGGTAGGTGACCAAGAGCAATAACAATTGTCTGTATTGTTTGTGGGGGTATAATGGATGTCCCTGACCAACAGGAGGTATATTCTATATCTGGCTCTGTTCTCCTTATCAGCCTATGAATTTTGATAGTAATGTCATCATTTAAAACAGATAATACCTGGAAACAGACATAGAAACCCATGACTAACCACTGGGCCAAGCTTCTGGAGTACAGTCAAAGTGAGGGAGGAGTGATCATATGAATAAAGAAGTCAAGGGGGAAACCCACAGAATCAGATGACCTGAGCTAATTAGACATCACTGACTCCAGTCTGACAAATGGGGAACCTGCATAAGACCAAATTAGATTCCCTTGATACAGGTGACAATGGTGTGGCTGGGACAATATTTGAGGCCACTGGCAGTGGGTCCAAGATCTAACTCTGATGCACAGACTGACTTAGTGGAGCCCATTCTGTATAGAGAAATACCTTGCTCAGCCTATGCACAGGGGTGTGGGGGATGGAGAGGTGCTTTGGTCCTGCCTCAACGAGATGATGGAACAGACGTAGTAGACTTCCTGGGGGGGGCTTACCCTCTCTGAGGAGCAGATGGGAAGTGGGGGTGAAGTGGGGAGAGGGGGAGGGGGAAGAAGGGAGGGGCACTGAGACTGGAATGTAAAAAAATAAATAAAAAAGCAAAAACAAACAAACAAAAAAGGAATAATACAAAAAGGCCTTATTCACAGGAACAGCCAAAAGCCATTCTTTGGATCTAACGAATCAACATAATTGTTCACATATATTCAGTACTCATTGTGTGCAAGGTTTTAGTCTAAGCATTTCACACACATAAATCCATGTAACCCTTGTCCAGGTAAGGAAGTTGAGGAAGAGGGAGATTAAATTTACGCAGGATGCCACACAATGGGTAGCAAAGTCCAGTATCTAACCCCACATTAACGTCTGAGATTATAGTGCTTTGAATAAGACTGTCCTTCATAGGCTCAGATATTTGAGCCCTTGGTCCCAGCTGGTAGCACTGTTTGGGTGGGGGGTTAGGAGGTATAGACTGTCCCTGGGGGTGGGCTTTGAGAGTTTAAAGCTCACATCACTTCCAGTTTTCTCTCTCTCCTTAATGCTTTCAGTTGAGGATGTGAGCTTTCAGCTTCTTGTTCTGGTCACCATGCCTGCCTACTGCCATGCCTTCCTCATCGAGATGGACTTTGATGCTCGGGCACAACAGGCCAAAATGAAGGGTTTCTAGAAGTCGCTTTTGATTGTGGTATTGTAGCACAGCAACAGAAAAGTAATATGGGGACCTAAAAATTAAATAGAACAAGTTTTTAGGAGAATGTCATTTCATGAAGATCTAGACGTATCATCTTGGA